CACGGGTTGTACTTTCTTATATTATGGCCTATACGGGGTTGGTTTTTGTCGTCTCTATCCTAAAAGGGTATCGGTGGTTTTCATGCAATCTCGGGAGACACAAATAACAATGGTGAAATGAACAAATGCTGGTGTACAAACAAAGCGAACTAATGAGCGATCTTTTGTTTACCGTCCACCAGCAGAGGAGGAGCGAATAGTATCCCATGATGCACCTTGTTTCATGTTATATTATCACTGCGTACGTGACATATCATGATCACTACTCTTCAGCACGCGCGTAATGAACATGGTATTGCTCGATGTGTATGGTTTCCAAACATGTTTCGGTTCAGCAGCTTCTGCTTTTGAGAATATTGAGTTAGCAGATATTCATTGTGCTTTAAAGAAGAATTTCAACGTTACTTTGAAGGGTTACATGTGTTTCACTGGTCTGTCGAGAACTACTTGTGCGCTCGGTCGCAACTACAAACACAAAGTATGAGACTTGGCAACTGAAAGGTTCACCAGGAGAAACGAAACCATGACTGATCTAAAAAGTGGCTCCAACAAAACAGCCGCTACGCTGTGAAGGTAATTGCCAAAGGAGGATTTATTTCAGCATCGCGCTCAAAGGAGCTCAATTTACAACTGCAGTTACAAATAAAATTTAACCTATCGATGCGACAAACAATCCTCTGAATCTACCCGGTACTGACTCACGCAATCTTCAAGGAAATTTCCTGACCAGAATACTGATCTGTTCTTTTGAATAATTAAAGTTTCTGATATATATTTTTTTCAATTTCTGAGCAGGCTTGTTTAGCGTTGTACCTCGTTGTGCCGCTTGCATGCTGCGTGGCACCTTTGTCTGGGTTCCTATCACACTGAAACACACGGTAATATTTACCGCTCCTTGTTCTAATTAAAATAATTATAGTCAAATTCCTTTTAAAAATAACCACTATGAAAATACAAAGTGATTACTTCGGCATAAAGTGCTCTTGAAAGCGCCCAACAGATGTAGCCTTCAGCAGGCTTTACACATACAACACATATATTATCACACATGGCGTTGAAATGTGATAAAAGATACGAAATTTCCGCCATCTTTGCTCGATAAAAAAGTCTTCAAAATGTGGGTACTTCTGGGTACTTCTTAGCCTGTACAATATTCAGGACCTCAATTTGCCGGCGTGAGGACCACATTTGGAAGACTTCAACATATAATCCAAAAAATCGTAAATATTCATGACCTTGTTGTGGGTCACTGAACACTTTGTGATAAGAAGACTAAGTGAAACAATGAAAATAAATGTTTCTATGTTGTAATTTCGCTCTTAAGCCATTGCAAATCGGAGAAGTCATGTCAAATAACAAAATAATGCAATTTTCTTACTTTTACTGGAACACAAATGAGAAAAAAGGCGACGAGAAAACGACCTTATTTCACGGTGGAATCTGCCATGACTGCGATATTGCGTAATGCCTCTGGAAAAATGCATCATGGGATACTATTCGCTCCTCCTCTGGTCCACCAGCATGGCGGCGATGACGTAACGTGAAAACCACCTATATAATTTCAGGGTATCGCCTGCACAATTGATCTGATTTGCCTGACAAAATGTCTTTCTTCTTCGAGTATACAAATTCAGAGGAAGCAAGAACTAATTAATTTGCTCTATTGCAATTGCTTATAAATGGCCTTACAACAAGACGGCCGGGATTTTGCCCTTTATCCTAAACAGGGTCGTCAGGGTTTCAAACCCTCGGCGGCTCACCTATCACCCAAATATTGGTCGAATTCCCCTCCAAACGGGCACAAAGCGAGTACTTCGAGCCATGGCAGTCTGATCAACTTCACAGTAGCCTGAGTATCAGGCCTTCCTAAGGGGCTAGGGGAGAGGAGGTTTTAGATGGGGGAGGAAGGAGGGGGAGAAGAGAAAGCTCTCTCCCTTTTTCGCTTCCTCTGATACTCAGGCTAACTTCACAGCAAATTATTCCCTCCCTGCCCGTCCAGATTTCTTTTCAGTGTATGTTTTAATGATAGCCCTTTGTATTTTGTTTATTAGTCCACTGTAGTCTACTGACAGGTTTCAGTATAGTCGGAGTGTTTGTTGTAAGATTCAGCGAGCTCTGGACTGAGGAGTTCTCATTTTCGTGGCAAAAGAGAGCTGCGCTACTTTTCACTCCCGGAATGGGGGTGGGGTGGGGGCAGTGGGGGACGGTACTCCCTATAGTGGCCTAAACGGGGAGGCTCCGTCAGAAAAGGGTACCTTTCTCAGACTTTAGGCATTTCAAAGGGTAGGGATTTCATCAGTTCAAGTATATGAAAGAGTAGGGAAATCTGTCATTGCGGTGTGTTAAAGGACCCAAAAGGCTAACAGATGCATTTTATGACTTTGAAAAAGTCGAGAAAGAGGTTCTACCAGGTTGAAGTCCAAAAAGGTACCCCTCCTGAGGTTGTTTGGACCTCAGGGCAGAGCCTCCCCGCATAAAACTTTGTTGATAGTCTGAAATGTCACCCGTCTCCTTGCCCCACCTCCTCACGGGGGTGCCAAGGCGAGAGACACGACCCTCCCACCACGGGGGTACGCAAAACACTCGTACGGGAATACCCAAATCATTGTTGAATTGCGTCCCTCCGAGCTGGAGATACATGTGCTTGTAACGGCGTTTTTACAGACAGAGTAGTGGCTGTCCCGGTTTGCAAGTAAAACTACCACAACTGGAAACTGCGGGAAGGTCAAACAAGCAATCGGCAAAGGGAAGCGGGCGGTAAGCATTCGATATACTAGTATGCCATCAAATGACATCAAATCCGATGGAAGCCGAGTTGTAGCGTTTTTACTTTTTTAAACTTAATAAGTCGGACTCTATTCAATTTTACGACGTACAATGGTCTAAAATGCTCACCAGCCAATTTAAGTTAAAAGTAGTTTGGTTAGGTGGAAAATGAGGAGTATGGAAAGTGTTGCCTGTGGAAAGTGCGGAGTGTGGAAAAAATGAAAAATAAATAATAAAAATGTGTGTGCGACGTTTATAATTAAAGGAATAAATAATAATAGAATAGCTAATGATAGAATGCGGATTGCGTGCGAATGCGGAGTTTATTTACCATCAATCCATGTATACAGCTTTTTGGCATTCAATTTTATCGCACGCAATGGGTTTTATGATGCTGCATTCGTAGACAGCGTGTAAAACAACCGGACATTACATATGTCAAACGACCAGGCCTGCCTATTTTTTAACTAATAAGAGGTGAAAGATCTTGCCGTACCTCCTGTACGGATCCTCGAAAGGCAATCTTCTCTTTACTGAGGAAATGATAAAATCACAAAATTCTATTTTTGGTTTAATTTGTTTTTCAAAATCGGGATGTCACCGCACTTGTGTTACCTCCTGGCTTGTATTATATTACCACTCGTGTTACCTCAAAAGTGTACAAAGGGGTTAGATCAGTCAACTAGGAATCAATCCTAGACGTGCAAACACATTACAAACCAACAGAAACTTTTCAGTACACAAACTTCTAATCATGTCACCCACCCGGCCGTAAAGAAATGCTTTATCAAAGGAGAAGCGATCAGGCTTCTTAGGACTAATTCCTGTCAGACTCAAGTTTCCGTAGAGTGACCGAACAGATACCACAGGGTGCCCGCACAATCTGTTTGTGTAGCCGATTGTTATTTTATAGTAAATGTTCTGGATTTACCGTTTGCCTCACCTAAAGCGATATGTCGCTAACTATGTATATAAATCAATGATAAATAAACGTTGAACTACCTTACCTGTGGTATATAGTCGTCCTTTTACCTCAAAAGCGGTTTTTTGAGCGATTTTGAAGGAGTTTGAATTATAAGGAACAGTCAACGGCGAAATCAAACTCCTTCAAAATCGCTCAAAAAACCGCCTTTGAGGTAAAACGACGACTATATACCAAAGGTAAGGTAATTCAAGCAAATAAATAGTAACTAAATATATGTATCAATCGCTATATAGCGATATCCACTTCGTTTGCCATTTAGGTCATGTAAATGATAAAAATAACAATCGGCTACACAAACAGATTGTGTGGGCTCCCTGTGCAGATACAAATTTTAAAGCGCCGCTTTAGAATGCATTTCTAGAGATCTAAAGGTACTCTGGATATCCTAAAAAGTGATAACAATGCATTTATAATGGTAATTAATCTGAGCAGAGTGCAATTTACTCCAAAGTACAAATTTGAACCTAAATGTTTCAATAAATGTTCAAGCAAAATGTTAACTTTGGGCAACCTCGTCCCCAGGGCTTTTCCCTTAAAAAATGGGTGGGGGCCCCACCCACCCATTTTTAAGGGAAAAGCCCTGGGGACGAGGTTGAACTTTGGGATTTGTCATATTTGCTGTCCCGTGCTGTTTAAAGCGTTGTCTTGCGAGATGATAATTCTACCCTGGTGGTGAGAACTTAAGTAAAAGAGACTCCTTCAATGGAAAGGAGTTTGTGGCACCTGTTGGGTGAGAGTAGGGTGAGAGTAAAACGCGGGGTCGGGGTCGAAGCCGGGGCCGGGGCCAGGATCGGAATTTATTATTTTTTTAAAAGAAAGCTGTTTTAGGGTTACGCTCAGGGTTCACGTCAACCCTATCCCTAACCCCAACCCTAACCCTAACCCTAACCCTAAAACAGCATTCTTTTTAAAAAAAAGATAGGCCCCTACCCCTACCCCGGCCCCGGCCCCGCGTTTTACTGACACCGGTGAGAGTAGGTACTCAGGCAGGGGCTTCTCAGTGATTGCAAACTATGCAATTCCAGGAAACATTTTCAATGCGTAAATAAAGTCTTTTAATAACAAAAAGTGGACCAATAATTCTAGAATTCAATTGAAGCGAAGACACTCTTTATCTTTTTAAAAAGTTCCAAGGGTTGTTGCTATTATTCGAGGGCGTGGCTCTATTGCAAGGCGATGGTAAGGGGAAGGCAATGGAGCTCTCCAGTGCGGCGCTTAATTAAGTGAATACGATATTGTATTGCAGGACATGATTGCTCGTGTGGTGTCAGTAACCCGGAAACTTTCATCTCATTTCAAAGGCCCAAGGTTAAAGACCAGTTCTCACGTTTCTCTCCCGACGTTTAGAAGAAGTTTGTCCAACTTCCTTGAGCCACTACCACAAGAGGAGCTGGTGACGAAATTCAAGTCCAGGCTAAAAGGAAGGCAGTTCCTTCCAGGCTCCTCGGGTTCGGACTTCCCAGAATTCCTTAGAGAGCCAACAGATTCATTCCCGCTCGGCGTTGCAGTCCAAAATCCAAACGGCTCTTCACTCTCTGATCTTACTGCAAAATGCATGGAATTTGCGGAAGAAACTTTCTCTCGTAGCCCTGCTATATTATTCCGAGGTCTTCCTGCTAAGTCTGCAGAAGACTTTTCTGTTATCGCTGGGGCGATCCCGTACAAGACCGCGGCGTATGGAGGCATTGGACATCGTTCTCAAGTAGACAAAGCTGCAGGAACATATACTGCTAGTGAGAGGCCACCAAATTATACAATAGAGTTGCACAACGAATTAGCCTATAGTGAAAACTTTCCATCCAAGGTATTAATTTTGAGCTCATTCCAGTGGTAAGCTTTAGAAAGAAATTGGTAATTAAAGTTTTAAATCTTGTTCAAGCGCAAAGGACAGAGAAAAGCAGTTTGGCGCGCTGCGCGATGATTAAAAAAACTCCATTTTTCTTCCCTTGTTTGCTGAGCCTGGCTTGCAGATGTGAACAAGGATCTAGGGTTGCATAACACCAACTAGCATGTATTGTCCCCGTTTTTCAAGTTGACAAACTCGCATTTGACATTTAAACCCTGCGAAAACAAACATTTTTGCTTCTTTTTTTAACTGTTAATTGATACAATTCAGACGATTTGGCGTTCCCTGCAACTGAATGGGATTTGATAGGGTTATGGTTCAGATTCCTTTTTTTCCCGGGTTTACCCTCTCCGCAATAAAACAGCACATTGAAAACGCGCGATTTTAACTTAATTTTTCAAAGTGATAACGAAGACTTGGTATTTAACAGTAGACCGTTAAATTAGAAAGGCAATGTCAAAGAGACCATGTGGTAACTCGGGGCTAAGTGCGCATGCACATATAATGCCTCTGTTTTAGAGACAGCGTTTCTTGGTCTGAGCAGTAAAAATGACATGAAAACGAAGGTAAGAAGGGGAAACAATTTATCTGTGGGGGCGAAACGCCAATTTCAGATTTATCCTGGTAAGTCTAGACGAGGTTTGACTGCCAACAGTCTCTTTTCAGACATGCAAGAGAGCAAGCCGTCATGTCGAGGCTGGCAGTAGCGAACGAGCAGCGGAAGTGCCGGCCCTCTTGTCTCTTTACCCAGACGTTTCCCTCGTTACGAATTTTGGGTGCAAATGAAGGCAGGACTCCGCACATGTACTCATGCTGACGGACGCCTCAATTCGCTCGTTTTCAGTGGTTCGCCTCGTCTCGCGTGATCTTTAGTAGCGGGTTTTGATCCAACCTCGTTCCCACGGTCCTCTCCCACTCGACCCTTGGAAGGAGGTTGTTTTTGATCCTCTTTGAGAGACGCACGTCAACCGGAAGTGGACTATTTGCACTGTTGGGCCGTTGTTTTGCCCAATGAATTACTGGCAAAACGTCTTCATAAGAAAAAGACACCTGGCAAAACAAATTTAGTTCGGCCAAGACACATTTTAGGAAAAAGACTTGACGTACGTCACTCTAAAACGCCTCTCCTCGGTAGCCTGTAAGCAAGCTCTCCCGTGCAGCTGGGGTGTAGGGGAGGGAAGAGGGGAAGGATTACAAGTTACCCCTCCCTTTACGCCCCGCCGCCAGAGCGCCCGGGAGAGATTGCTCGCAGGCTACGTATAATACTGCGCGGCAACCCCGAGGACGAAGCCAGAGAAAGGCCCAATCCATATTATATCCCCATTTTAGTCTTACGATTCGCTATAACTTCAAAACATGGACTGTCAAGTATAACGTTGCAATTTCTATTTCTTAGGTGTACCTATTCTGTGTCAAGGAGCCTGCCGATGGCTGCGGTGGCGAGACTCCTATAATGAAAAACAATGACCTTCAATCACGTCTGGATCCTGATATCATAAGAAAGCTAGACGAAAAACACATCAAGTACGAAAGATACATGCCTTCCACACGACACAGGAACTATATATCGTGGCAAGATGGTTTTATGACAAAGGATAGAAAGGTACCGGCGCTATACGCTGTATTGATTGCTAAAGTTTTGCTCTTTGTTTCAATTTTATCTCGGCAAGGAGGGTGGTCAGAAATTACACTACCTAATATTAGCTTTAAAATAGAAGAGACTAATTCCACTGACCAAAACACATGTCCAATTTTATTATGGCCATCTCAGTTGGTTGGATACAACCATGCAATATAAGCTTTTTGCTTCTTTCGGGCTGTTTACATAGAGGGATGAATATCCTTGCTCCCGGAAAATCCTAGAAGGCGGAACAACTTTCCGTTCCTTGTAGAGTTATTGTTTTGCCTATTAAACCTCTTGCTTTTTTGACGTTCTTGTTGTCGCCGCCGTCTACCCAGCACTCTACTATTCCCCTACTGACAGGTAATCACGCAATGGTTCGTCAGGAAACAGGGCAAATTTCATTCACATTTTGAGACTCGATTTAGCTCCCAGTCGTTGTCCTTCTGTTTACTAACGTTTGGGCGCCAAAAAATGACTAGCAGCTCGTTCCCACTGAGGAACTAGCACTTGACAATGGGATGTGGGGAATGCCAGCAAGGTACAATGCTATTTTTGACTTTCTTTCTTACTCTTCTAGAAAGTGGAAGATATAGCTAAACAACAAGGCAACGATATCCACTGGGATGAAAACGGGGATCTGTATTTATCGCTTATCCGACCTGCTTTCATACCGCACCCTGTGACGGGAGAAAAATACTGGTTTAATCTAGTTACGGGGCACCACAATTCGTGCGTGGATTCAATGCCAACATTTAACGACACCGACATCTTGGACGGGAAATGGCCGTATCACAGTTATTACGGCGACGGAAGTGAGATCGAACCAGAGGTGATACAGCATATAAGAGCACAATCTTNCAAGGCAACGATATCCACTGGGATGAAAACGGGGATCTGTATTTATCGCTTATCCGACCTGCTTTCATACCGCACCCTGTGACGGGAGAAAAATACTGGTTTAATCTAGTTACGGGGCACCACAATTCGTGCGTGGATTCAATGCCAACATTTAACGACACCGACATCTTGGACGGGAAATGGCCGTATCACAGTTATTACGGCGACGGAAGTGAGATCGAACCAGAGGTGATACAGCATATAAGAGCACAATCTTGGGCATGCGCCGTTGGATTCAAGTGGAAATGCGGTGATTTGTTGGTGATAGATAACGTTGCTGCCCAGCATGGAAGAATTGGATTTTCCGGTGAAAGGAAGATGCTAGCATATCTAACCGCTTAAATCAAAGGACTTAAAATCTTCTTCTTTAAATTTTAAGTGGCAGAAATCTGTATGGAAAACTATAGAGAACCTCCGAGGAAAACGGTATTAAATCTATTAATTCAACTGGAGCAAAGTGAAACAACTTTGTTACGTATGAAGGCAATTTCTTGTCAAAGGGTTACCTAATTACATGAAATTTTGGCGACACTTTAATTTAGCAAATTAAAAATCACAAAATTAAAATGCACCAAAATTAATTGTCACTAAATTTGAATCGTCGCTAAATTAAAGTGAGTACAACATGAAATTCCGCCATCTGGTCAGAAAGTTAATGTTTAGGCACTTGTAAAAGGAACAACGACGTTGTGTGACAATTAATGTACCTTAAATATGAGTGAGGAAAACATTAAGATATGACATTACAGCTGCAGTTTCGTGTAATCTGTTTTGTTCAAAATTAAGTTCAGAACGTTTTATGATTTTTATTTAAATGAAGCTATTGACAGGGGCCTCTAAACAATTCCATAATCTTAGCACGTTATGCGCTGGACACGTCACCTGCCAGCGCAGAAGTGAACAAGACTCCCGTTGAGGTAACCTGATTCTCAGACGTCCGAGGTCGTTCGCGGCCCCTGCGATTGAGAGAAACGAAGGGGCCGCGAACGACCTCGGACATCTGAGAATCAAGCTACCTTTGAGGTAGGAAGCTCCTCAATTTTATCCGGATTTTAAATTTAAAATCTTGCTCATAGTCTAAATTTACCGGATAGATGTATCTTCACATAAGTCTGTGAGTACGATAGTTTAGCTATCCACTTACATAGAATAAAAAGACTTCAAAACACCAGTGCAAAGTACACACTCAAACAAATAAGACCAGAAACCTTTTAAAAATTATTTCACAAGACTGACATAAATAGAATTCGTCGGAATTTCGGTTACAAATTATTTTACAATAAGTATACCAAAAGTATACCAAAATAATTTTACCTAAAATAAATAATTACTTAACCAGAATTTATAAGCGTACGAGGTCATTTCTTTTTACTGGCGCGCGCAAACATCCTTTAGAGTAGGTATACATACATGGTTATTGACTGGATTTTACCGTTTCGCTTTGTCGCACAGCAGCCACATCATTCGTTTATCAGTAAATGTTTAAGCGAGTATATAACTCTATGTAAGGAAATCCCGGGAAGTTTTGGCTTTTGGAATCTGGAATCCTCGGCTTTGGAATCCGTAATTCAGATCAAGGAATCCGGAATCTCGCTAATGATTACGGATCAATTTAGGTTTTCTGGGAAACCACCCACCTACCCCTCCCCTAAGCTACCATTAACACTTCCTTCTCAATTAGGCAAAAAATGATCGCTTAAGGGAGGGGTACGTGGGCAGTTTCCCAGAAACCTAAATTGATCCAAACTCCAAGTTTCACTGACAAGGAATCCGGAATCGACGCTGTGGATTCCGGAATCCAAGACTGTCTTGCTTTACCCTAAATGGGACGAGTTTGTAACTGACTGGTCTTTAGGACTGACAAATCGAATTCCAGTAGACGCAAAAACATAAAGCAAAACCTCTTTGAACGGACACCAAAGGGAAACAGCAAGGCGTACGCCTGCCAGATGTCTCCGCAAGGAAATCTTGGATTGGGCTAGTATCTTTGGGTCCATATGTCCGTAACAGAGATATGTCTGTGCTGTGGCGAGGTATCCGCACATAAGCGTGCATCGTAACTTCGGATTCACATATAAGGCATTTTACGTCCTTTTCTTCCCGTAATACTGTCTAAACCACAGGGACTACTCACACCCGTTTAGATTACGATGAATGAATAAAGATTACTCACTTAAAATCTATTCATGGACTACTGCTCAGTCGGTAGAGCGCTTGACTGTAGAGCTAAGGGCACGGTTTCGATTCCCAGGACCGAACCAATGCTCAGGGTCTTAAAATAACTGAAAATGGAGGTGCTGCCTTTGAATAAAAGGCTAGACCTTCGCATTGCTCGGTTGACCAAGTAAAATGGCGGGTCCTGTCTCCAGTAGCAGACGTAAAAATGATGACCTCAATAGTACTTCCATGCAGAATACATTGATACTCAAGTAAAGTTCTTCTTTGGCGCGGGCTATTTTGAATTTGTCTGCTAAAGCGAGGTGTGGAACCGAGAAATCTTCGGTGGCGCTCAAATTTCTTTTAAGATGTATCCTCGGCAAGTGATCAATTCGTTCGAGAGTTTTCTCAATTTCCGATTATCCCAGACCACCCCCTCTCCCAATTCTTTTGCTTGAGGTCTTTCACCAGTTGAGCGCAAAATTGAAAACATCGATGAAGTAATCATTACTCATTTATTATAATCTAATCCGATGTGAGCGCCTCCTGTGCCTAAACGACTTGAACTGATACGAGATAGTTTTATACCATAGCAGGTGGCTGTAAAGAAGTGTTTAACATTTAAGCATAGTCAAGCCCTTATGAAGCGAGGCGACGGCAGCGTACCTCTAGGACATGTGGTGTACGATTCATCAGTCCGCATTATTTGGGAAGGTATCATTTAAAATCTCTATTACTTCCTGTGAGTGTAGCTTTCCAATACCCACTGCGGGCACGCCCAAAACTTTTCGACCAGCATATTTTAGCTAGAACAAAAACAAAAACAAGTGTGATTAACTTAAATCTTTGTGTTCAGTGTAGTATTTCCGAAACAGCTCAGTGCTGAAAGTGAGAAAGTCACCTTTATTCCAAGAATATTTTCGAATCGTGGCGAAACAAAACTCCAAGCTCCCATATTTCTGTGTTCTTCTTGGCTCCATATATATTCTGAAAAAGACAGTAAATGCCTTTAAAGAGCAAGAGGCAAATGTTCCACCCTAATTTTATCCTTACACTATCTTATACCTGTACTGTCTTTTTCTTAAACGGGCAAATTTTGATTTATTTATGACGCTATTTGTTTTGCCTTTTTAAAATCAATACTCCCCAACCCCCTTTCCTTTTTGTTGCCAGGGGTGGGTTAGTCTCCCTCGCAGCCGTATTTGTTGCGTCACGCAACGCTTCTCCCTAATAAACTTTCTTTGGGAGGAGCTTCGCGTGACGAGACAAAAACGGCTGCGAGGGAGACTACTAGGAGTTAGCCTCCCCGCAGACGTCCTTTGGGTTCGTTTGTCACGTATTCATTTCTCTCCCACGGACCGTCCGTGTGGGAGAAATGAATACGTGACAAACGAACCCCAAAGGACGTCTGCGGGGAGGCTAACTAGGAGTGGGAAAACATACAACTGTTGCAAAACGTGAACAGCATTTCTAAAGGTAGAAGTCAGGAAGATTACCTTTCGCTCCAGGAAACTTTTGAAGTTCTTGACGAATCACTTCGGCAGGGAAAGGACACAACGACTGGAATAAAAAAAACAAAGAAATGGTGACAATTGACCCTCAGTTTAAGGTCAGAAAACGGTTGGACGGCAAAACTTACAAAAGCCAAACCATATAAAGAATCAAGAAATACAATTTTAACCCGGAAAATAAAACTCCTTGAGGGACATAAGTCATGTAATACTCTTTTCATAGGTGACAAATTACTCCTTAATTTTGGCACGAAAATTCAGCGTTAATTTATACGTAAAATTATAACGAGCTTGCTATAACAACTCTTTCCAGGGTGCCAACATGGCGTGCAGGTTTGAAAAAAACCCGCGTCTTGTGAGCGTAATTTAATATTGACTAACTTGGACAAAACGCGCGTGAAATTATTCCCTAATTTCACTTGTCACCATTGATTACACCTTCTACATACTAACATACCGCACCCGTAACAAAAGTGCCTTTCAAATGTACAGACACAAATGCCGAACTGCAAAAGATGTCTCAAAATGAGGAATTGCCAAGCCCTAAGGGCTGGCATAGATGCTTACCTCCAGTCTAACAATGGCTGTATTCATGTTGTTGGTCGCTTCCCTTTGCTTGTTTAGAGTATAGTAATGTTTACCAGAACAGAACACTACACGACTCACAGACGCCTTGTTAACAGTGCTATCCCCAAGGACTGGTTGAAAGTGAGTTCCAGGAGCCATCTCGTGAAGTGATGATACGGCAGCCTGAACAAAATTACGGAAAATGACTAACGTTCATTTATTGCACGTACAGAAGAACAAAGCAAGAGCCCTTGATAACCAAGCTTAGCAAATCCACAGCTGTGCGCTCTTTCGTAGGGATGCTACAACCACCAACCCGCATAGGCCTACGCGACGGTCAAACATATAAGGCGTTTTCTTTTCCTTTCCTTTGTTTATTTACCAGGAGGTGGAAAAAGTAGAGATGTCTAAAATAAATGTTGAATGCCGCTACTTTTTCATTTTTCTCAAAATAAAAGGTTTTTGCCTGGCTGAAAATTAGCTGCTTCGGGAAACTTTTTTTTTTGACAAATGTAGGCGACAATTTCCGCAGTTTCAGCATGTTTTCAGTTTTCAAACACTTTTAAGTTTTAAAAACGTTTTAAGAATCAGTGGTGTCCTGGCAATGCTTCAACCTTTAAACGGTTAAATTACAACCTTAACTTTGAATTTTTCTTGGCCTGGCTTTCCCAAATTTCGCTCTTATGTTTTAAAACAAAAACCAACTTTATCTCGTATGAACGCGTTTAACTATAGACCTTTCATTCACACATACTTTCATGCCTGAATCATAACTTGTCCTCTGCAAGTTCTCTACAGATAACACATGTATACTTGGTTACTATGCTTACCGGAAGTCGTATCAGAAGTTTGGGCCCGACAACAATAAGTGGCTTACGAAAGTTGCGTAGCATCTGTAAGACATAAAAAGTCGATAACTCAGAGGGAAAGTGAGAAAATAAAGCAAAAATTATTATGTGAAGGCTTGTCGAGGTTTGTTATCGGTCATATCCTTATCAATTTGGTATAGCACTCACCTGTTGTCTTAGCAAATGGAAATACTGCGCAGGCGTCGTAGGGTTTGCTATGTACATGTTAACATTGTCTCCATCAACTTCATCTTCCTTGCTGTCCGTTAGCTTTGAAAACAAGACAAAAGTAGAGAAAATGGTTAGTTTAAAGCCGCAAAAAAAGATGATATATTGTTACAAAATAGAGAGGGTAAGTTGTTACGTCACGTTGCCATGGTAGCAAAATTTTTGGATGACAACAAACCGAAAATTCACTTAAGAAGTAAATTCGCACTTCATCGATGTTATTCAATTTCATTTAATTTGTCAAATGTTGGCGAAATTTTCTGGATTGAATCCGAAAGGACGGTATCTGAGTTTAGAAAAAGACAAAGAAACTTTTTGTGTAGTGTTCACCTACTCCGTAAAGCGGGCGCATGAAATTAGGAAGTTTTATGTCGCAGTCGTGCAACGATGGCTAAAAAATGTGCAAAAAAGGGTGATGCACGTGCAAAGTTGTTGCTTTTTTGCCGTTCTCGTTGCCTTCATCGTCGTTGTTGTCTAATCACCCTTTTGTTGTGATCCAAAACGTTTGTTACCATGGTAACGTGACGTCACACTTCCCCTCTCTATTCTTCAGTAATTTGTACAGAGAACAAGGCCATCAGGGAAATCACTTCATTAAAGGAGGTTGGCCATAAGATTTTGCGAGTGTTCAGAATTCCTTTGAGGGATATTGACCTTCAGTAATAGACGAAACTATTCACATACGCTAGAGATCCCGGGGGGGGGGAGGTACTCCCTTATATAAGCCATATAATTATGTATGTGCCGCCCCAAAGGAAAGGGTTTTTGCGCCCTTTTGGTCTGAAAACAGGTATAGACTTTGCCCTCGGGTACGGTTCTCGAGGGAACTCGTAGGTCGGAGTGCATGAACGTATTTGCCGGTTTCAATTCCAAACGAGGTAGAAAGAAAGAGAAATACGCGAATTCGAAATGGATTTTGAGAATTTTTTTTTGTTCTAATCTTCTACATTTTTAGCTTAAAAAACGAAAAAGTTTCCTTTTCTACTCTCTTCAACTTTCGCCCAAAACGCTTTTCGACGAACTCGCGGCTAAAAGCTAGCTACGAGGACTATTTATTTATTTATTTATTTATTTATTTTTAACTATGCTTTTATTTGTCGTATTCGTAGCTCGTCCACACACATCTACTAGAACGATTGTTTTAGCAACGACTGTTCTGGGCATGACAAAAGTTCGATTAATGGCTCTAAAGTCCTATCGGTAGATTTGTCAAATTTTCCAATAACCCTTACATCCTGAATTATTTTAGCCAAAAAACGCAGCCAAGGTTTATAAGATTTAAAACTGTAGGCGAAATTAATTTAACAGTGAACGGGTAATAGCCAAGATTCACCCCATGTAAGGGCATCCGAATTCCCAAATCTGGGAAATTTTTGCCACTCGAACCCAGAATCCTGGGGTTTAGAATCCGGAATCAACTCAAGGAATCCGGAATTCCAAGGACGCTTTCCATTCAGTCCAAAATTCCGGAAATTTCGGTTAGAAATCAAATTGGAACGGACCGTTTCGGTTCGGTCCAGGGCGGATAAAGGTTGGGCGGTGAAACGAGCGCTCCGCTCTTCATTTAATGTGTGATGCGGAGTAGGACTGGCACGAGCGCTCTTTCCGCGCTTCCGGTGCGCCTGAAGGCCGGCGAAATTTTCCTTTTTGCAAACCGGAAATCCTATTTTCTTTCTGTAATTTCAGGGTACAATGTTAAATAGATAAATTCGTTTCATAACAATATCAATAAACAGTTTCATATGTTTGTGTCTGTACGTCTATAGGTCAAACTTGTTGGTCGTATAATGCCAAAATTTGAGTTTAATTTGAAAGTGTTGAATACCTCCTCCTTCCACTAAATATCACCTAATCGTCTTTCACCGTTTCGTTTGCAAAAGCTTAACACTTCTTAACCTCAATTTTTACATATGTTAAAGGGGGATAAATTTTATATAACATAACAAAAAATTAGATTGATATATATTGATATAGTGGCGTTGTACTTCTTCAAACTTTCCTTCTCGTTTGCAACGCGACATGGCGATTCGCGCAATGCGTTGCAAATCCGGTAACCGCATGTAAACAAAATTTATTGAGGTTAGTTGTAAGGTTTTTTCTCCGTTTTTCTCTCTAAAACAAAACAAGGTAAACAGTAAAAACTGAGGGGAAACTAATTTTGAAGTTTCGAACAAACAGAAAGACGTATGAGATGTTTTTTTCAAAATTAAAAAGAAGGATGATGGTGATTGAAATTAGCATAATTTCACCTTGCACGAGCTGCACGCATTTATAAAATATACGTCATCTAGTTATGAAACACGATCTGCTGTCTTTTAGTTTTGCATGGATGACATGGATGAGATTTTCCTTCGTGCTTTAGACAGTACTTAGTTGTTTTTGTTTTGGAATAACATCGACATTGGCGAGTAGCAGAACGAAAATATAATTCAGTGGTAGAGTCATGGAAGTAATAAAAGAAACCCTTTGAAAGAAATGTTTGTCTACTCCAACTAAACCTCCCGCAAAAAATAGCAACATTTGCCTCTCGGAGACAGCGTACCAGCACAAAGGAAAGAGGAAGAAGTGCAAGAAAACAAATTATCAAGGCGCCATAGTTCAGTGACAGCGGCAGTGTCTTATGTACAAACCACATCGCAAGCCCCGACCAAAGTCGAAAACAATAAACATAGTGCCAGTCCACTGCATCACACCTTTTTGCTCGGACGCGCTCGTTTCACCGCCCTACCTTTATCCGCCCTGGTTCGGTCCGACCGGAATATTTGGGAACACCTTTGAGGGTGGTCCACTTTAACCGATCCGGTCATTTCGGTCGATCCGACCGAAAAGTCCCTTTCCATTTGACAGAATTGTTGTCCCTAGTAACGTCTTTTGTATCCTGCTTACAAGAACAATAACCAAACGCGCGGTGGCTCGGGTCGGGTCTCTGCAACCAGAATGTACCGTTCCACTGAGCACGTGAAATTTCCGAAATTTCAAACCGGAATTTTTGCTGAATGGAAAGCGCCCCAAGTTCCGCTGACAAGGAATCCGCAATCCAGTTCCTAGAATCCGAAATGCATAACGTGGGATGCAGAATCCAAGACTGTCTCGCCTTATCAGGGGTGACAGGATACCAACCTGAAGAAATCTTTCTATTCTACAGGAGGAATGTTCTGGTCCGGCTCCATCGTACCCATGTGGTAGTAACATCACTAGACCGCTTTGCATCAGCCACTTCGCTGAAAATTAGCCATTAATCATATCTATTAGAGAATCTTATAGATCCCTACCACAGACGTAAGCATAAGCATGAACATAAGGGAAGCATTAGCATAATCACGAGCATTAGAAGCTTATCGTATTTACTTGAATAAGCGCCGCCCCCGATTAAACGCCGACCTGAGATAAGCATCGCGGCCCTAATATACCGTATTTATTCGATTAACCGCCCTGGGCGCTTATTAAATTTTTGGACCTTGAGAGTGGGCGCTTATTCGAGGTGGGCGCTTATTCGAGGCTGGGCGCTTATTAAATTTTCACCATTTTCAGCATTTGAAGTATGTTTATTTTGCAACAAAACAATAAATGCTAATAACAAAACGCGAGGAATTAACAAAGCAAGGTTTCTGTAAAATACTCTGAAGAAAACTCCGTCCTCGGGAAAGTCTCTTATTAAAATTTATTCACTCAAGTGGGTGGGGTGGGGGGTGAGCGCTTATTTGAGTTTGATTGACTCCTCCTCCCCCACCCGCGAATAAGCTCCGACCCGCGAATAATTGAAAAAGACGGAAATCCTACCCGCGAATAAGCTCCACCCGCGATTAAGCTCCAACGGCGCTTATTCGAATAAATACGGTAATCAAAATCAAAAGACATTAATTCTGTTAGTTCAATACGGAAAATAATAATACCGTGGTTAATACAATTATTTGTCGCGTCCAACTTTCAAACAGACACCGCTATCGAATAAGCGCCGCACTTGAGGCGTGGAAATTTTAATAAGCGCCGCGGCGCTTATTCGAGCAAAATACGGTATGCGCTAGACGGGGACGGCCGTGACATAGACATAAGCATAAGAACAACGCAATGTGTTGATACTGTAGTGTGCGAGAGCGCATTCTTGTAAACGACCAGCTTGAGTTGCGACCGCTGTAATGGATGTTGAGGTGGTCGCTTACCACCCTGCGAGCATAGAATCTATTTGTCTTCTTGAGTGAAGACGAGAAAAGAAGGCTCTGCCTGAATCACGTCAAACCTTTCAAGCCACCAAAGCCCAAATTTCTGGCCTAGACAATCTTGTTTTCTCTCGTCAAACTGTTTTTTTCGAGTGCGAGCATCCATTAATTGATAAAACGATAGTCTTAACCGAGCCCGCTGTTGCCAGGGCACAGCTGTTAGAGAGCTTTATATTCAGAGACGAAGACAACTACGAGTACGAGATTTTCACAATACTGAGTATTTCTCACGCGTGAACCAACGTCATTTTGGCGGAAAAACGTGATAGCCGTCGTCACTCTACAACGAGTTTTAGCGAGAATGTCATAGTGGCGGGAACAAGTTATCAAATGTAAGACGTTTTATCATTTTGCTATCGGGAGCGGGCTTAACCTCCTTAAGTATAAATAACCGCACTAACTTTTTCGGTCAAAAAAAAAAATGAAAAGGAAGCTTTCCGGGGTGTCTTTTTTTAAGAACACGCACAAAAACTTTGAATCAAATCTCGTACTCGTACTCGTCCTCGTCCTCAAAACTAAAGCTCTCTCTTAGGCCTGGGTTGGAAACTATATCCTAGCAACATGCCGCGCATGCTCAACAAAGATGTTCCTGGATTCATGCACAGTCTTTCTCGAGTACACCAAAATCAAGCAAGCGAAAGAAAGGCTGTACTGGCAGGATGGTCGCTTACGAGAGCTTTGACAGTATTCTTTTACGAACCTTCTCCACCCGAGATGAACGTGTCAATGATAATCTGCGCTCCATTAAAGAAGTCTCCAAACTGTGCTTCCCAGATAATAAGGTGATTTGGGTTTTCAACACTCATGCCATATTCAAAACCAAGGCACGCTTCTTCCGACAAAGGACTGTTGACAACCTAGTGTAAGGAAAAGGAACTATAGTCTTCAATTATCAACAACTGGCAACACCATCAACATCAACAACAACAACAACAACAACTTTGCGCCGTCTTCACTATCTGAACGCCTGAAACAGGCTAGGTTTTCAGAGGCAAAGCAACATACATCGCCAACTCCCAGTTAGCTTAGCTAGTCGAAGTTATGCAAAATTATAACTCCGAGTATTAGAGTGCATACGACGAAGCAAAAGTTGAAAAAGAAAATAGATACAAGGTTTCATATCTTCATCTAACTACAGTAGAGAAGACAAACTACGTGGAAAACTCAAGCTCATCGGGAGCGATTTTGGGAGCAAGTTTTTAAACAGCTATCTCTGTCAACTCACCGCTGACCACTTTTTTTGCAAGCGGCTTGAGTCAAAGGGCGCTGTCCAAAAGTCAGAACTGGCCGGCCGGACCATGGCTGGACCGGTCATTTTGAAAATGAAATAGGCTTTTTCACAGAGTTTTTGATGAGAAACGATTTCCTTCATGCGTACTATTTAGGATTTTAATGGACCGGCTGGATACCTTTAATTAAAAGTAAAATTCTCATTACGACGGGAATATCCTGGCCAGTCGGTTCTGACAAATGGAAAGCGCCGTAAATGTAGGTTAAGTATGAAATAAACGTTAAGTGGGAGGCACTCGCAAGCCTTAGATCAGCGGAGCTTTAACCTGTATCTATAGCATAAAGTAACTGCGAGTGTTAGTATAACAACTTTCGTCTGTAGTGGGATATTCTCTCCTAAAAGGACCACCTCACGAAGCCTTATAAACCCAGTGGCAGGGCGATCGAGCACTAGAGGTCGCTATGTTGTGGTACACGCCTGATTCACCGGGGGAAAGGAAGGGGATAGGTCAGGGGAGACAGGTAACATCTATCCCCCTCCCTCCCTCCAATCATCCCTCCCATCATCCCTCCCATCATCCCTATTGACTGAACTTTCTCCTCTCTTCAACCTTCCACTGCTTTCAAAATCAAAAGACTGCCCGGAAAACTGAGCTAGAGAGAGGTGTAACTAACTAAGAAAACAACACGACTTCATTACCTGGACCTAAACGTACGACCTTCAGATTTGCAATCCGACCCAAGATTTATCTATAAAACCCAATCACAGGCCTCGACGCAGTCAATTACCTCAAGGAAAGCTTTCTGTCGCTCAAACATGTTGTTCAAAGGGACAAACATCTCATCTGTTGACTGATCTACCAGCATGGCATGCCTGTGGCTGAACGTGCCTCTTCCAACATCTTGTCCACTGAAACGCACTTGGTACCCTGTACAGCAAAAGTAAGGAGGACAAATAATGAGACAGTGCACTGCAGCAGAAATAACGCCATTCGCTTCTCTTACATTCAAAGGTGTGTTCTTGCGACGTGAATGCAAAGAGATTCACTTAAGGAGATTCTCAAACAAGATGCAAGAGAGCCTAAGTAACAATGCAGCCGACATTTCGCCACGCCCCGACTGGTTTATATGGAGAAACGTTGGCGAGGCCAGAAGGGTGACCCTACTATCGAAAAAGGGTCGACCCTTCTGGCCGAGCCAACTTTTGGTTTCTTAAATTTTGAAAGGAAATGTAGGAAGTTGGCTCGCCTAAGGTATCTCGCGTAGGCGAGTGAATCTTCCACCCACGACAAGTTTTCTTCACATAAAGGGGACCTAAAATTGACCCTCGATGACAAAATCATTAATAACAAAGACTATAACCTTGCCGATGACCAAAGATACAACATTATTGCAGTAAATATATGGCGGCACTGCCAGTCAACCTGCAAATCCCGCATAGCTACAACAAGTTGCAAAAATGTTGAGACACTCCGACGAGAAAACGACCTTTCTTTCTCCTGACAAATCGCTGCTAGTCACAGGTCTTAGTGAGATAATATATAGATTTGGCCACGACTAAAAGCGAAGCTCTCGATAATATTTATAGTTTATTCAACAAAATGTAATGTATTTAGAGCACAATTCTTCTTACATATGAATGTATGTTGATACAAAGATCGAAATATGTTCACCAGTTCGCCAGGATTAAACGCGTTCGTACGAGATATAGTTGATTTTTAGTTTCAAGACAATTTTAGGTATTCGGTATCAAAGATTTTACATTTTGGTATCTTCATGAGGAAGACTTCGGGTTACATTGGCATATCCCACCAATCCCCCTGGCAGCGACTGCACTTTGCAGTCAAGCGCTCAACACCGGCTAATCTGGTCCTACCGCGGTTTTAAGAATTTTTTTCTATTATTGGACCTAGAACAAGTAGCTGGCTCACCTTGATAAAGAAGGCTTCCAATGGCGAGTGCTTCAGCTGTTGCCCAGTCAATCCCTGTTCCACTTGTAAGCTTCTTTATCCTAGTTTCGACGTGAGTTTTCTTCAGATGTGGATGGATGTTAAACGAATCTGGCGTCTCAACAGATTTGGCTCCGATGAACATCATGTTTTCAAGAGGAAAGCCTAAAAAATATGAGAATAGGAAAGTGGCTTTATAGATAACGAGATCATAATGTGCGCAGTTTGTTTGCGTGTCCCCTTTTACCGTACTTTTCTGTTACTATATACGCAGATTAACTCCACGTCACTACGTCTTAAGGTTATCGTACTATACGCTTTCTGATATATTGTATGTTGTGTTTAAGTTTTCAGTTTTCTTCACCCTCAAACTATTGTACTTAGAGGTACAATAGGCAAATAAACAGGCCATTTTCAAGTTCCAAAAAATCTCACTTTCAAACCGATGCTATGCGCAAAAACCTTTCCCATGAAAATGACTGTTATTTGCAAGAGAATAAAAAATCAATTTTCAATAGCTTCACACTTAGTATCAATAGCTTCACACTTAGCTTGGCTTAGAAACAGAGGCACGCAGACTTTCTTAGGGATTCGTCACACGTTCCTGACGTTCGTGGGGCAGGAACGCGTGAAAAACCCCTAAGAGACTAGGGAACTTAGGGCAAATACCTGTATCCCAAGTAGTAATCTTATCTTCACTGGCCTGTACCAGACCCCTCCAATGACCCTCCAGGTGGGACATGTGAGGAACAACGTTCTCAGCGTCCTTTAACTCTTGGTTGAGAGCGTCAGTGTAATCAGCGGTGTCCTTTGATAATTCATCGTGAGTGATCACGCCCCTTGTTACCAAGCTCTCGGCGTACTTGTCTGGCACGCTCACTCTGTCCTCAATCATTTGGTACATCAATGGTTGAGTGAAGGAAGGATCGTCTATCTCATTATGGCCCCTAAATCAAAGAGTACAGACTATAGTATCCAGCCGTTCATTATGCAGAAATACCGTATTTATTCCATTAAACGCCGCGTCATTTATTACAGACTGTTCACAGTCCGTACCGGTAAATTCACGATCCTGACGATCTTACGAAAAATAGGGGGGCTGTAAACAGTGTACATTTATTCTATTTTTCTGCATTTCCGAT